ATTTGCAAAGATTCATAAAAAACCCTTATACTCACTTCTTCTGTAGATGAGGCTGGATCACGAATGTTTCGAGCGAACATAGATGCATTTAGGCTGATGGGGAGTGGCGCATTCACTTTAAAGCGAAAGTAACGTTAATCCTCAGATGTCAGGAGTAAATGACGATTGCTATATTCATTATTACATCCAACAATAAAGCACCTCAATCGCTTAATCGGAGACATCTTGTCTTTCCCTGCACCAGAGTCAACACAATGGCGGACGGATGACAGCTCACTCAGGGCGGGTCTAAGGTAAGACACCAGTCCAGTCTGTGCTGAAACACTACTGTCAATCAACTATCGTGGGAGGGGCCTGTACAGAACTACGTCATTCTGACAGGAATCTCAGAACAGCCTGATTTGAGAGAGGGGATTTTAAAATAGGGATTTAAAAAAAAAAAACACTGGATGGATTTTTATAATTATAGGATGGATGTGTACACACACTTCCAACATCCATTAATGTTCAAACAACTTGAAAAGTGAATTTTGCATCCGATGACCCCTTTAAGACCGAATGCACGGATCCAATATAATGATGCACGTGCGATTTCTTTCTCCACTGTTTACGTTCATTTAAGACATGAAAATACTTGCCGAGATAGTTATTTTGAGATAATTTTGCGTGCATGTGTCCGTTCAAGCGAAAGAGGAATCAATTCTGTGTTCGTGCTCTGCCTGAAACGGCGCTCTGTATGTGCGCGCTTTGAGCGTGAATTCTTCATGCGCTTGAATGGTTTAAAACGCTTGAATGTTTAAATTGGTAAGACTTAGAAACACGTGTAAATGATCAACTATAATCCGTTTCACCTTTACAAGTGAGTGAACAACGTGAATCAAGGAAGGGATTTTTATATCACTGTTTAAGGTAGCCCGTCGGGGCAGGGCAGTGATACGTTTCGGTAGCCCGACTGGAAAACACAATAGCCCCGGGACGTCGGGCTAGCGATTTTGCGAGCCCTGATATACATGATGATGAGAATATTTTTTCTTTAATTTATGGAAAAGTTAGGCTTGTCGATAACTAAAAATGAACCTTTCTCCTAAACATACTGACACCATTTAGAATAAACATGCTTTAAACATGCCTTGTTGAGTGTAACTCATTTTTTGTCATTTATTTATTTTTTATACATTTATATTGAGTGTTTATTTAATTTTTATTGCTGAAACAAATCACTAAAATAATAGTTTTATACTGTATTTGGACCGCAAAGTACAAACCTACGATGCAACTTAAAAGCTCATATAATATTTACTTTAATCTCATGTGTTGGATGAAAATCATTGTCTGTTCAGCACCTTTCATTGAACTTCTAAGATGAAAAAAAAATCTTTTTTAAAGAGATTCTAACCTATTTTGTCACCACTGATGAATATGACTGATTTGCAATAAAGATAAAAACTCACATTAGTCCAAATAAGTAATAAGTTACCTTTTCGATTCAAGCTGCTCCTTTAATTTGCTGTACATTTCCAGGACTGCAGAAACGTAAACAAAAGACAGCATGATTTTCAAGTAAAGAAGACCATGTATTAAAAAGAAATCAAACTGAAACATTTTCTTCATTCAGTGAACTGTAACCACTTCCTAAATTTATTTTCAAAAGAAACCACAACCTAACTGCATTTATCTACAGAATCATCCAATAGGTTTCTTGATTAAACCACTGTAAAAACAAAACATTTCATATCAAGTTTGAAGTCAGAGAGACCGTAAAATATAAAGACATGAGGACCTGGACTCATTACTGTAACAAGAAACCTGGGAACACTGGCGTTTACGGTATCTGGATCGTTTTTAATAGTCTTCTAACGAAATCTCTGGGAAACAAGCACCAAAAAGTAGCGGTTACAGGTCACACGGTGAGATTTTTGCACAAATGCGGCGTCTCACCGGGAATGCAGAGCTGCAACTTCTCCACCGTGGTAGCCATGTTCCTCTGTTGAATTCGGCAGCGGATGACCTCCTCCGTTTGGGCCGTCACCTTACATAAGGGAAGGTCAAAGAGTGTGAAGCCCTCTCAATTAACGAGACAGTCCTCTCTGCGCTATTGTTCCATAATCGACATTCTTTTCTTCTGCCCATCTAACGGCAGACAAACTAACAAAGCCAGACTGTGCCATACCTCTCGTCCGGCGTCTTGAAGTCTTCGATTGGTGTCGCTCACTTGGCCCTTAAAACATAATATCACTTTTGTTAGACAAATAAGACCACGATTCCCTGTTGTAACTGCTCACCCTTGTAATCAGATCATACTTCATGAGGAGTCAAGAACAAAGGCATGCAAATTCAAATTAAATGTGCAGCGGGAACTTGAACTTTTGGTCGGCGGGGAGCTTTTATGGCCGGTAATCGCTTCTGACAGCCCTTTCTAACAGATTCTGTGACAAACTTCTCAATTTTACTTGGGATTTTTGAACTTTGGTTGTTCCTCTGGCTCTGTCAAACAATTCAAATCAATGACCCAATTGACCACTGGTCCCTTGTTGGTAACTTCAATGAGCTCTATGTGCCATTCATTGTCTGGGGTAAAATGCGGATAGCATTTTCTGGTAATTAAACATTAGTTTTTTCTTTTAAACACAAACGCTGGGTGGCTGATTAAAATCAAATGTGAAGACCTCCACACCACTGCGCCAGTATAGTGCCCCAGGTGCAGGGACCCCATGGCCACAGACTTTCCCACATATTAAGTCTCATTAGGTCATCGTAATAAGGAACCGCTTTTCGAGTTTATTAAAAATCTAATTTATTCACGAACAAAGAGGGCCCAGCGACCTCATTGATGCCGTATGTGCTCTCTTGTTATCTGAATATGCTTTATATAATGTGGGTCTAATTATGAGGATTGTTGAGCCACTCCTGTGCCGTTTGGTCACCATATTTCACTCTGGGAAGTGGAAAGAGAGCTAAAGAGAATTGGCGTGCGATTCCAGCGTGAGGTCTGAACCCCATGACTGAACCATCGTGAACAAAAACTCGACACCATGGGTATCTCTCCATTCCATGCGAGTGAGTGCAAAACATTAATCAATAGCTAAACAATAATGCAAATTTGATTCTACTTCAAACTTTGTTCTGGAAAATGGTGCTTAACCTTTCTTAATACGATTTCAAGGCAATATAATTGTCTACTGTATACTCTATTGGAGAAGACTGTATACATTTTACTAGGAATGACTCTGAGAAAAGCCCTCAGTTAAACTCATGGCGAAGGACTTTTTCCATCTTTGTTTAGGGCAGGGGTGTCAAACTCGGCTCTTGGAGGGCCACTGTCCTAAAGAGTTAAACACATCTGATTCAGCTAATCAAAGTCTTTACGAGGGCTAGAAACTTCCAGGCAGGTGCGTTGGAGTTGGAGCTAAACTTTGCAGAACAGTGGCTCTCTACGAGCTGAGTTTCACACGTGGCTTAGGGGTAAAAGGAAGTTTAAAATACCAATGCAATTACGGAATACAAGCTGCGCCTAATGGAATTCATGATAGCATGGACGTGATGTTGTCTGGGGGTTTGGCAAAAGGAGAGTGAGACTGTGGGCTGTGCTCGGGGTGGTGACTGAAGTCTGTGACTGTGTAGTTCTGACGTCAACTTTTTACGGAAGTCACAACGGTTCGTGAAAAATCACAGCTACTTTATGCAGGCTGTGTGAATTTTACTGTGGACTGACTGTTTTGAAACTTATATGGTAGTTACATAGCACCTAGACCTCAGATATCATGAAAAAAGTCAGGAAATTTCAGTTTTGACAATATGGGACCTTTAAGGTAAACATCTAACCTATGAACTCTAAATTAACTTATTTCTGGCCCAAATATGTACAAATTCTTTATTTTTCGATATCGCTTGAAGTATATCAGGGCCTTCTTACCTTTATATAAGTCTAGTAAGATATAGAAAATAAGATACTGTATAAACATGCATTTGACTACCCCAGTTTTGAAAATGAGCAAAATACCCACAAGTCATTAGCCACATTAACAAAAAAAGTAAAAATTTAGCAAAAAGTACCATGGTAGCATAATGGTATTATTTGCAGTAACTTGATGTATCGCACAAAGACTAAGATATATTAAGATGGTAATCATTCAGTTTTAACAGCATTACGTAGAAACAATATTGAGATAATTATGTCAGCCTTCTGATGTTAATTAATGATCACATTTGTCAATCTATTTAATAATAATAACAATAATACTTAAAGTCTAAAATGGCCAAACAGGTTAAAGTGTAAAAATGTAAAACAGTGAATCATTTGTTAAAAGGGCAGTTTTTCACAATGTTTTTCACTAAATTAACACAATAAATAATAGTTAATCTTTTTCCTTTATATCCATTATAAAAATACAAAGCAGTAAACAGCACACAAGGTCAAGGACTAATAAAGCATTTTGTATGGATTCCACTTAATTTACTCTATATATATTAATAAAAAGCTTTTCAGCAGGATTCAAAATCACAGCAATGTTCACTTCATTTTGGATTGTGAGCAAAATCAATGTATATATCACCCAGCATTGTTTAGTATGATGGTGTATCTTTTTTTTTTTTCCTGATACTATTATTCTACCATAGTACTGCCACAATATTTAGCAGGACAAAATGTATTATTTATTTTTTATATCCATTATAAAAATACAAAGCAGTAAACAGCACACAAGGTCAAGGACTAATAAAGCATTTTGTATGGATTCCACTTAATTTACTCTATATATATTAATAAAAAGCTTTTCAGCAGGATTCAAAATCACAGCAATGTTCACTTCATTTTGGATTGTGAGCAAAATCAATGTATATATCACCCAGCATTGTTTAGTATGATGGTGTATCTTATTTTTTTTTTCCTGATACTATTATTCTACCATAGTACTGCCACAATATTTAGCAGGACAAAATGTATTATTTATTTAAAAAAAAATACATTATTTCTCAATAATATCAATGCATATGTTACGAATCCCTAAAATAAATTGAATTATGATTTCCACATACCATCAGCTTCTCAGCATCCGCTCGGACCTTCAGCAGTTCTGTGATGGCGTCCACGAATCCCTGATGATGGAAGTTGCACATTTTCTCAATCTCTCGGTCATGGTTGCGTATTCTGGCGTCAAGTTTCTCCATAAACCTTTTGTGTGCATTGGGCTGATCATCGTAAACGGATCTATAAAACAAACATCAAGTGAACACATTAAACTATTTCAAACAACAGTCAGTTTGCAGAAATCTTCTTTAAAGATTTTAAAGTGTCTAATGAATGTCATCTCATCTTCGTTTACATTAACAGTGACACACATTTTTTAACATATAAGACGCAGCAATTTAGTGTGCCATGTTTTAATGGTTTCAAATATCAAAGTCACACTGTGTTCACACTTGTAGTTCGGTTCGTTTGGTTCATTTGGTCCGGACCAAAAAGGAAAATGATACATTTGGTCCTGGTCCGCTTAGCATTCACATTGGCATTTTTGACAGCGAACCTAAAGGCATAGTGATACGTTCACAACCTGCCTGGTCGGCTTGAATTACGTATATATCGTGACAGAACTCACCGAACACCCCAAACAAAAGGTGCGTTAGACTTAAAGCGGCGCTGCTGGTGTATGATATCAAAGCACCCATTAACCGATCGGTCTGCTCAGCGCCGTTTTAAGTCAAACTCACCTAATTCCATCTGCTGGACTAAGCGCGCTCATTCTTGTGTGTACATATAATTTTATTTTCAACACCTGCAAACTCACAAGGAGCTCATAAAAGGCACTTTACCTCATCGTTGCTCCACGTTTGCCCTCTGCTCATTTTGTTTTGGCTACACCACATCGTCACATCATATCGCATAGCATCGCATCTTGTCATTACTTCCTGTTTTTGGTTCGTTTAGAAGTATTTGGTCCGTGTTGCGTTCATATATAATTCAAACCGCACCAGAGTTCGTTTGGAAGCGAACCGAGACCCATCTTTTTAGGGTGCGTTCACACTTGTCATGTTTGGTTCGATTAAAACGAACCCTGGTGCGATTGCTCTGTTAGTGCGTTTCGTTTGAGTAAGTGTGAACGCTATATACGCTGTATACGTCATTCAAGCCGACCAATCAGGTTGTGAACGTATCACTATGCCTTTAGGTTCGGTGTCTTTAGGCTCGCTGTGAAAAATGCCAATGTGAACGCTAAGCGGACCAGGACCAAATGTATAATTTTCCTTTTTGGTCCGGACCAAATGAACCAAACGAACCGAACTACAAGTGTGAACACACCCTTAGTGGTCTCGGTCCGCTTGTTTGGTGCGCACCAGGGTTCAAGATGGCAGCGTTCACACTTACTCAAACGAACCGCACTAACAAAGCAATCGCACCAGGGTTCGTTTTAATCGAACCAAACATGACAAGTGTGAACGCACCCTTATAAACTGTCCCATCTGTCTAGTCAAACATATATTTCACAAGTGCAAAATATTCAGGAGCTGTGGCCAAAAAACATCAGTTTACAATGCAGGTAGAACCCAAACCAAGCCATATCTAGAAACCGGACGATTCAGTAAAAGTAATAATAATAATTCACTTCAGAAAATGCATTTTATGTAATTACAGTCCAGACCTTGTGTTTCCCCTTCAGATAACACACACACACTTCAATACTCTGCAGGTGTCTCCGTGTGGTTTTATCAATCTAAGAGCATGTGCGTATCAGTAGCTGTGTTATCTAGCGCCGGCCTCAGTGTCTGTGTCAAGCAGTGAGAGCTGGCGAGGTGAAGCCAACAGATGGGCCACTTCTTCAGTGTGTTGTGAGACCACAGAGCATGTGTTGCCCTCCTCACTGCTCCAGATGGCCAAGAGAGCCATCTCTCTCAGTGAAGATGAACAGTCCGAGATGATTCAGGGTCTTCACTCACTTCCTGACACAGATCCAGAGGAAGTGTGGAGGGAACTGCACCAGCTGAGCTGGCACTGTACTGCATTACGTATCATTTACAATCAACATGAAACAGTGAACTGGCCATTTTACTTCCATAAAGTATTTCAAAGCAAAAAAAGGATGTTCAATAATTTTTTGAGGACTTTAGTGATTGATTGGATTCAGAAAATGGTATAAAACCCCATGGTATTACCAAATGCAGAGGTGTCTAGATATGGAGCTCTCACATTTGGGTCTGCAGAACCTTAGGGGGTCGTAACATTTCTAGAAGATCTCTGAAAAAGTCTGAGAGAAAAAATGATTTCTTCTAATAATGTATATCTTTAAGGGACAGTTCAACCAAAAACTTAACTCACCCCCATTTCATTCTAAACCTGTATGACTTTATAAGTATAAAATATATTACAGTATTTTTCAAAATAACTTTGTGTCCTGCAGAAGAAAGACAGTCGACGTTTTGGAATGACATGAAGGTGAGAAAATGATGACAGAATTGTATTTTTTGAGTGAACTATATCTTTATGATATTAATGAAATATGTTTATGTTAACAATATTTTAACAAATTTCTTAAGTACACTGCAGGTTTGTTAAAGTTAACTAAAACCATAAAAAAATGTCACTTGAAATAAAATAAACATTAACTGAGTAAAAACTAATAAAAACTGTATCAAAACACTAAAATAACACTGCTACAATGGGAGAGAAAAAATGATTTCTTCTAATAATGTATATCTTTAAGGGACAGTTCAACCAAAAACTTAACTCACCCCCATTTCATTCTAAACCTGTATGACTTTATAAGTATAAAATATATTACAGTATTTTTCAAAATAACTTTGTGTCCTGCAGAAGAAAGACAGTCGACGTTTTGGAATGACATGAAGGTGAGAAAATGATGACAGAATTGTATTTTTTGAGTGAACTATATCTTTATGATATTAATGAAATATGTTTATGTTAACAATATTTTAACAAATTTCTTAAGTACACTGCAGGTTTGTTAAAGTTAACTAAAACCATAAAAAATGTCACTTGAAATAAAATAAACATTAACTGAGTAAAAACTAATAAAAACTGTATCAAAACACTAAAATAACACTGCTACAATGACAGTATAAAATATAAATTAAACAACTTAATTTGTGTTTTAATATACATTTTCACATATATTTTATACATAAGAAAATGTAGCTTCCTTTGTATTTTAGGAAGTGGATCCCACAAAAAGGATCATGTTTGGGGGTCCTTAACATTAAGCATTTGAAAAACAAAATAAATAGCCTCACAATCTATGAACATTGGGCTAAAATGAATAGACTATGAAAAAATACAGTACATACTACACAATGGGAGTGAAAACCACTAGAGTGCAGAATGTGCTGCAGTTGGAGGGATGCATGAATAGTTCTCCAAGTGCGCCACCCTGTGTGCAACAAGGGAGCAGTGCATGTTCAATCACTGATGCATATGCAAATATTTTAACCAAACCAGCAGCCATAGATCAGTGGCTCTCATGTGGTTTACACTGAACACTGAACATGAAGTGGTTACCCAGCACCAAAATTGCTGTGCAAATGTTCAAAAATAAAATAGCTTAAAACCAAAGTTATTACCATGTATTAGACCCAACAACATTCGATGGGAAAGTATGAACGAGAGGAATGCATTATTTTTCTTCATTAATAATTTCTGAATTATATCTCTGTTATGTGTGCAAATATCAGTAATATAGGATGAAATAGAGCGACACTAAGATCCCAGGAGTTTTTTAGCAATGCATGTAAAAACTGACTTTTCATTGGCTGTTTTTAACAGCACAACAACTTTATAAATAATGTTAAAATGCAAGTTAAATTAGCAGGACAGTGTCACACTGCTTGTATAGTGTTGGCCTAACAAACTTCTGCTTCCTTTTTTTATATTACCTGAAAAAAATTAACTCATTATAAAGCATTATGAAACATGATTAAAATAATACATTTCCAAGATTTACTTTAAACATTTGTTCAAAGAATTATTCAGACTGTATAAATGGTTTGTCTCTCTATGACTCAAAAGCAGGTACTTTCTCTGTTCATAGGTGTGTTGTGTTTGTGTCAAAAGCAGAGGTTACTGTAAAACTACTGTAGACTGTAAAAGAGTCACAGCAATTAGCATGAGATTCATCACATTAAACAATCTTAACCAGCATTAAAAAAAAAGATATTCATAATAACAAAGTAGCAAAGTCTTGGACGGCTCACTGCTAGTGAAAATGCCAGCTGGCTCTCTCTCTCAGATGCCGAGCAGAAGGTTCGGATGAAATCCAGGTTGCAATTAGCGACAGCACATAGATCTAGCTGACTGATGAGCTTATGGTTAATCTGAGGTATATGTATTGTTGTGTGACACTGTTTATAAGCTTTACACATTTTCCGCAGTTTGAAACACTGAATAAGCGATTACATGAGACATTTTAGTAAGTTTTAGGCTATCTTATAAAATAGCCTACCTTTTGATGTCCATTCATGTTTATTTCGTACTATAGTGGTAAAGAGAACGATATGATTGGTTCACCTGCCGCTTGAACTGAGGCACCAAAGTGATCGCTCATGCCACATTAAAGAGCGCCAAAACCGTATTTATTGATTGAATTTCGTTATGAATTTGGCAGACGTTTAAAGGGGTCATATGATGTTGCTAAAAAGAACATTATTTTGTGTATTTGGTGTAATGAACTATGTTTATGTGGTTTAAAGTTCAAAAAACACATTATTTTCCACATACTGTACATTATTGTTTCTCCTCTATGCCCCGCCTTTCTGAAACAGTTGATTTTTACAAAGCTCATCGGTCTGAAAAGCGAGGTGTGCTCTGATTGGCCAGCTATCCAGTGCATTCTGATTGGCCGAATACCTCAAGCTTGTGACGGAAATGTTACGCCCTACCATACTGTGATGCCGTGTCCCGGAGCGACGAGACAAAAATATTAAAACCCATTATAAATGAGGCATTTGTTGCATCCAGTGGGGAGATAATTACGGATTATAATGACTTATACTGTCTTTTTACGAGTTGCGCAGCATCGCGCCGAGTAAACATAAAACCATGTCTGCATTTGTGATCGGAGAAATGACAAACAACAAGTGCTACTCTACACTGCTCAAAACTCACGTTTGAATCATCAGTGGCAAATTCTTTTTAATCAGTGGCAAGTCCTCCATAAAATGCGCTGCACACATCTGAATATTTGGGTTGAACTGTTCTGGAAC